TAGAGTAGCTTCCCACAGCGCCTCCTTAACATTACATAGGGGAAGCTAAGTGGAGTTTTTAAAAGAGAACTATGGGGTAACCTTTTTATCCTATAGTTCTCTTTAGGGTCACGGGAGGACATATACAGTTGTGCGAAAAAAGTGTTGGCCCCCTTCCTGATTTTTCATTGTTTTGCACGTTTGTCACACTTTAATGTTTCAGATCATCAAACAAATTTAAATATTAGTCAAATATAACACAAGTAAACACAACATGCAGTTTTTAAAGGAAGGTTTTTATTATTAAGGGAAAACAAAATCCAAAACCACATGGCCCTGTGTGAAAAAGTGTTTGCCTCTAAACCTAATAACTGGTTGGGCCACCCTTAGCAGCAAGAACTGCAATCAAGCGTTTGCGATAACTTGCAATGAGTCTGTTACAGAGCTGTGCAGGAATTTTGGTCCACTCATCTTTGCAGAATTGTTGTAATACAGCCACATTGGAAGGTTTTCGAGCATGAACCGCCTCTCGATCCTGTCACGGCTCTCTGCCGTGACAGGGGGATGCCCAGCTCATCGCCTGTGCTGATCCGGTGCCTGCTGCCCAGCTCATCGCCTCCGCTAATCCGGTGCCTGCTGCCCAGCTCATCGCCTCCGCTGATCCGGTGCCTGCTGCCCAGCTCTTCGCCTCCGCTTATCCGGTGCCTGCTGCCCAGCTCATCGCCTCCGCTGGTCCGGTGCCTGCTGCCCAGCTCATCGCCTCCGCTAATCCGGTGCCTGCTGCCCAGCTCATCGCCTCCGCTGATCCGGTGCCTGCTGCCCAGCTCTTCGCCTCCGCTTATCCGGTGCCTGCTGCCCAGCTCTTTGCTTTCGCTGATCCGGTGCCTGCTGCCCAGCTCTTTGCTTCTGGTGCCGTGGGGATGCCCCTTGCAGCCGAGGGACCTGGGGATCGGGACATCTACTGCAAGTGGGGTGGACATGTGCGCAAGCCCGGGCCTGGTAGTGGTGATATCCCGGGGAACGGGGGAGTTCCATTTGAGCACCCCTTGCTTCCAAAGGGTCTCGCTGCGTTCCCTAAAGTATGTGGTGACCTGGGTCGGGTGGCCACAGCTTTGGGAGTATCCAGGTGGCTGGCTGAAAGTGTGTGTTTGGCCCAACGGTGGGTTGATTACTTCACTGCTAAACCTGTGGGGGGTGTGAGGTTTTTTTTGTAGTTTTGTTGTTGTGGAACCAATAAACTGTGTGCATAGAACCCTATCCTGTGTGGGCATATTAATTTGGTCATCCTGCGTGGGTACCTGCATGTGGTGTGAGGACACCTGTGCATGGTACCCTGACAGCTATATACTGAGTGCCTCAGCCTGGACGGATCCCGACAATACTGTCGAGATCCACCCAGCTGGCTGATTGACAGCGGGCTCTGCCTATCTAGAGACAGAGCCAGCTGTGCCCACCTCCTCCCCATGCGTTCCTCCAGTCAGCACTGGAGGATTGGAGAGGGGAGGGGGAATCCCTGCCGGGAGCCGTGACTGACAACCACCGCTCTCTGCAGGGAGATGATTGGGAAGTGAGCGAGCGACGGTATGTGTTCTCTCACTTGTCAATCAATAGAGCCGACACATGTGACAGTTTCATTGTCTCTGTTTCATTGTCTCATGTCGGCTCTAGCTATGAGGATGAGTGGAAAACACTCACCTCATAGTTTTCCTTTAAGCAAGTAATAAGAACTCAAAAATTTCAGAAGCAATTTTTTATTTATTTAGGTTAAGTTATGATATGTGAATAGGAACATGTAACAAATATAAAGTAGGTGTTATCCCAATTTTGCTGCAAAAGTGGAAATAATAATAAAAAAATTAAAATAATTGTGAACATATTTTATTCCCCTCCGTTTCGTTTATATCCACACCCTAATTTTTGGGAATGCCGTAATTAACCAGCACATTATTTATTATGTTGTTTTTTCCCCCACTTTAGGTATTTCCTTAAAACATAGTTTCATAAGGCTCATAAAAAATCTCAGACATCTGCCAAGTCTTTCCAGTATTTCTGCATTTAATCACCCAGTAGACAATGAAGGCCTCGAGGAGGACTGTGAAAGGGTGGGTCAGTACATTTTTTGTAGAAACATGTCTATGAGTAAACATCAGTATTTCATAACATGTAAATGTATTGCATATATACTGGGAATGACAGCTAACATATTAGGCATTTCAAATAACCTCTATAATGGCTAACTTTTTTTTTCATGTGGTTCAATGTTTCATGTTTACCTCTAAAATGAATCTAACTTTTTTAAAGCCTTGTACATGTCCTTGTATGGAATATGGTTTAAAAAAAATCAGGTTTTTATTGCTGTATGTGTCCCCATTAGGCCTCGTTCAACTTAGGCAGTGGAGCTTGTCAGGAGTTTTTTTTAAAGCATTTTATATGCATATACATGTTTTTTAAGCCATTTTGAAGTGTTTTGAAAGTGTCAGCTTCAGGCATTTTTCTATTTGGCCCAATGGAGAGCAGTAGCATTTGTGACATCATGCAAAAATGTTTGAAAAATGCTCCACAAAACGCTGAAAACGATTGTGATGGATGTTCCATTTAAGCCTATGGTACAAACACAAACATTTCCCAGCACACTTACCAGCTAGCCTGCAAAAAAAAAAAATTACACTGCCTAACACTTTGTGTTAAAAACAGAGGGTTTGCAAAATATGTGGAAGCCACACTGCCTTGTAAAGGCCCCTATGTGTAGTGTGGTCCTAACTCTAATCTATGAGAACCTCCAACTTGGAGCATATATAGCAAAGGATAAACTGGGTGCAGGTACACCTGGAGGTACAGGGACACATCAGAAGCCCAGCACAGTAGCAGCTGAAGCCTCCAGTGTGTCCACACACCAAATGCAGCAAAACAAATAAAGCAACCACACAAATCAGTTTGTAATTAGTCTTCAATGTAAGGTGCACATAGACGGGCTTTCCACAGTACAAGCACAAACATTTTCCAGTACACTTACCAGCTAGCCTACAAAAAAAGCTTACACTGTCTAACGCTTTGTGTGTGCCCTTCCATGTGCACTATGAAAGTTAGTTATAAATTAATTTGTGTGGTGATTTGAATGATGCATGTTGTTGAAAAATTGGCTCATCAAGGGATGCCGGCCAAAAGGGTGCCGACAGGCACACACTGTGCGAATTTCCTCAAAAGTGGTCGAAATTTGCACACTGTATGGGCACCATTAGTTTCCCTAACTATATTCTATGGAGGGAGCTTCCTGGATCTGAGCGGGCGTATTTAAACGTCCCGTCACCCACGCGGCGCACACAGGCGGGAAACTGCCAAAATTTACAAACAGGCAGCGATGCCTGTTGACATACAAGCGATCCACCGGCTATAGAGCCGGCGGATCGCTTGTATAAGGTACCGTTCCGTGCGCATCCCCCCCACACACGTGCACGATCTCCCTCTGATCCCCTCTCTGGTGTCAGAATGCGGAAGTGATGTATATTACATCGCTTCCACATTCTGCTGTCACTATCCAGCTTCAGAAGCTGGAGAGAACCTGATGAGGCAGATCTCTTTGGTGATCCCTAGGTGACATTAGGGGTCTTGGAGACCCTTGATGTCTCAATAAAGAGGACCTGTCACATCATCTTTGCTATCAAATAGGGGGTTTCTTAGCCCCCTATGTGATAACAATAAATAAAGTGAAAAAACAAATAGGAAAAAAAAATTAATTTGAAAAAAAAAATTTTAAGTCACACATGAAAAAGTATTAAAAAAACACAAAGTCCCCACCCATACATACATGCATGCAAACATGTGTCAGGTGCGCATACATGTGAAAACGACGATTGCGCCCACTACGCCGCACATGTTACATATCGCCGCGAATGTCGAAGTGAGAGCAATAATTCTAGGGCTATCAATCACTGATAACACTAAACTGATGAGCGATAAAAGCTTTTAAAGTGTTGCCTATGGTCAATTGTGGGTATAGTAATTTTTTCCATTTTGCGGGTGCGCGCAATTTTGAAGCTTGACATGTTTGGTGTCTATTTACCCGACTTGACCCCGTCTTTTATATTTTACCAAAAAATTGGGTACTTATAATTGTTTTATAACATAATGGGGAAAAATTTTTTTTCTTTTCAACATTTTCAGTAATTTTTCCTTAATATAGTAAAAAATAAAAACCCCAATCGTAATTAAATACAACCAAAAGAAAACTTTATCTGTCCCCAAAAAATGGTATAAAATTAATTTCAGTACAACATTGCATGACGCAATAAATGTCAGTCAAAGTACTGCAGCGCTGAATACTGAAAAATGGCCTGGACAGGAAGGGGGTGTAAACACCTGGTCTTCAAGTGGTTAAACAGCTAATTAATGGCTCATATTGAAATTATTTATGAGATCATTTTGTCACCATCCTACCAGCATTAAGTCATTTTTCATAATTGTGACATTTCCAAAACATGGAATCATTCCTCTATTTTCTATGCAATCTACAGACAAACAGGAAAAAATAAAACTGCCCCCTCACTATTTCATACAATGATTAATGGTAGTTTAAAAAAAAAAAAATATATTGTTACTGTTGATAAAAAGTGTACGTTTTATCGTATCATTAGTCCTATTTCTAATGACACAAAAATTATTTTTCTAGCAAAAAAAGAAAGAAAACGAACAATAATAATAAAAATTATTTAATGAAAATAGAAATAAGGACATGGCAGAAAAATAATGGATTAAGGGGGAAAGGGAGGAATCGATTAATTAAGACTGATTAGGATTAACTCATTTTATCAAAAACACATTAGGTGGGAAGGAGCTCAAAAGTCCTCTGATGAACCACTGACTAGTAACTATAGGGAGTGGATTTGACTTTGCCCTCCTCCTGTTGTGTAATCTTTTTACACATATTTCTTGAAATAAATATACTCCCTCTTAAAAATCCTTTAAATGCTGACTGTACAGACAGAGAAGCTGCATAGGAGTGCACATCATCGACTGAATACAGCAAGATCCTATACATGTCAAACCTTGAGGGCATGCAAATTAGTTTGTAAGTTTCTCACGTTAAAAGACTACATATATAAGGATCCTTCTCCACAACTATTCAGCAAGTGAGCAACCAGCTTTGTGTACTTGAGCTAAATGGCGGCCAAACCAGGTATGTATTGTCTCTGTTCTCTATTCAAGTTTTATTATATTCCAGATTACCTCTCTCTTACCGAAATTTGCAGGTCAAACCATTAAAACATATGAAGACTTCTGTATATGCACATGTGTCTAGTACCAAAGTCCCAGCAAGTTACTGATAAACTTTACTCTCATAGTACATAGTTGCTGGTAATTATTGAGCGATAGTTGTAAATAATTAATTAACAATTGTTGTAAATCACCTACGGTCATTTATTTATTACAGATAGATTTTGTGTATTTTGTTCTTGAGAAAACCAGCATAGAGCACCATTGTTTCCTCTTTTAGCCTATTTTCAAATTCTGATTGGGGTTACATCTGTTTAAAGTGTATGTAAACCCAAACACTTAAAGTAAATATATTGTTAATAAAGGTTTTCATATTTATTTTATCTTAATTTTTTTCTATCAAATTATTTCAGCACAGTATATACATACACACATATATATATATATATATATATATATGTATATATATACACACACACTTTCGTGTTAAGGGTGACAATGCTTAATCAGTTCAGCTGCAGTGTTGTCACCCTTTCCTGCACACTCCTGAATGGGACTAACAGCAGCCCTTAAGCTGGCCATACACTGTTCTAAACCCAGGGGCTGAATGAGAAGAAAAAAAAAACAGATTCCTCCATCAAATGCTGATGAGTGTTGATCGAGCAGTCACCTGCTGTTTCCTTTCTATTCTGACGGGAGCTTATTGGCTGCAAGTACCATTCGTTTGAAGATTTTCCAACAGGTTCTTTCAATCAGCTGTTCGAGGAATGGAAGGGTGCTGGCCGAAGTTTGCATGGTGTATGGCCAGTTTAAGCTTCAGTATCTTGCTAGTCGGCGAAACCCCTTAAACAATGCCTGCATTCAATCACATTGTTCAGGTATTTTGACAGCCAGACTAGCACAGGGGTAGCCAAACACTGGTGGAGGACTGTGGTGAAACTACAAATCCCATGATGCATTTCTCTCTGGGAGTCATGTCTGTGAGAATGTTGCAATGCCTCAGAGGATTTGTAGTTCCACCACAGCTGGAAGAGGAGTGTTTGGCTACCCCTGGACTAGCAAGATAGTGAACATTGGCCCAGTGGGAGATTCCTCCATCCACACAGTTTAGCGTAGATGGAGGAATCTGTTGCACTTTTTCCATCTGACCATAGAAAATCTGCAGATAATCTATAGCTGTATGGCCAGCTTAACACTTTGTTGTTCAGCCGCTGCTGGATAGTGCTCAGCCGTCCACAGAACAAGTAGCTTTTTCACTAGGAAAACTCCGCAATGGCCGCATGCATATTGTTTTCCTGCAGAATAACACACATATAATGGAGTTTTCACAAATTTGACTGCAAAAGTGGAAATACACTTTAAGATAACAGGTACCTTAGGAGTCTAGGAATATGGGAGCTGTTACTGACTTGTTTAAAAAAAAAAATAGAACTCTGGGCATATACAAAATGAATCCTTGCAATGGGGCTACCCCCGTACTGCACGGATAAACGCTCCAACTGTGGAATGTCCCTCAGCATCCTCGGATCCAATGTAAGTGAATGGATGTGATGATGTCATGGGTCCTTAGACTGCTGGAGCCTAGGGGAGAATAGGCTGTGGGAACCAGGCGGGAACGTGAATTGGGTAAGTATATCCTTTTTTATTTAAGACCCTAGGGCAGGGGTAGGCAACCTTGGCTCTACAGCTGTGCTGAATCTACAAATCCCATCATGCTTCTGCCTCTGGGAGTCATGCCTGTGGGATTTGTAGTTTCAGCACAGCTGGAGAGCCGAGGTTGCGTACCTATGCCCTAGGGGAAAAAAAGCACTTAACCCTTGCAGTGTGGGTGTAGCCCAGCTTGAACATGCCTGAAGTTGTTGTTTAAATGTATTGACAGCCTAATAGTTCAGTGGTATGGAACTGGTGATTCATGTAAGAATTATCTGACATCTGTACATTTTTTTACACGCTCGCCTAACTCCTTGATGCCTCCTTGATTGTGCGGAGCTAGCTGTCATTGCTATCTCCGCACAATCGTTTTCTATTTACTTTTTTTTTACTTTTTAAACTATTTTTCTGTTTCTGCCGAGCAGAACAGCCGAGCCGAATGCCGCTCAGCCATACCAGCCTGATGTGAATAGCCGAACGGTGTTCGGCTCACTTCACTTCAGGTCGGTCATTCACTCGGCTGCCTACGGCAGCTTAGTGAATAGACCGCTATGTCTTCTTCAAGCCGAACTGATTTTGCTGCTTTCATTTGAACTGTGTCTTCCCTAAATATACAGATTCAGCTGCTTCTACTGAACTGTGTCTTCTCAATTATACAGAATCAGCTGCTTCCATTGAACTGTGTCACTTAACCCTATCAGTGATTGTGAACCTACCCCTGCTTAGCTGGTAATTAATCACTCAGACACAATATCATTAATATCTGAAGCTGTGATCCACACCAGCCACAATAAACTGCATTGGAGCGTTACACGAGTTCTCCAACCATCTGACTTCCGGTTTAGTTAGAAGTAAGAGGTTTGGTCGAGAAGGCTGTACTGCACAAGCGCCACCCGCGGCATTTACCTATACAAATAGTACACAGCAATATAGTATTAAAATGAACTAGGTTTACAGTAATCCAATACGTTAAACAAATTCCATTCATAGTTACATCGTTAACCAGGTTAAAAGATGACACATGCCCATCAAGTTTAACAACCTCTAAATGTTTTGGAAAGCAACAAAACCAAACTTTCTGAGCATTGCCACAGGGGAAATAATCATAATTCCTAGGAACTCCGGCTGTGTTTCCCCAGCTTCATTCTACAGTTTAAGTGCCTAACCTTACATTTATCAACATTTCATTTAAAAACAAAATAATGGCGTATATTGGCATTTTTAAGAGATCCTAATGGCATTGACTTATTTTGCATAATTTTTTGTCTTTAGTAAACACAAATACTTTATTTTCTATGCAATCCATAGACCGGAAAAAAAAAACTAAAATGCACCTTTTCCTATATTGGTCAGTGTTTTTGTGTCTTTTTGTTTTTTTTGGGGTTTTTTTCTTTTAAATTCTGTGAAAAAAAGTACAAATTCAATTTCATTCTACAAATCCCATTAGGCATTGCAAGTCTGACAAGCCACAAGCATGAATTCCAGAGACAGGTGCACAATGGGATTTGTAGTTTTATCACAGCAGGAGGTCTAAAGTTCGTCTACCCCTGCTCTAAAGCTTTGGGTGTATACAGAGAGGAAAATTATTATTTGATCCCCTGCAGATTTTGTAAGTTTGCCCACTTAAAAAGAAATGAAAGTTCTATAATTTTTATCATAGGTATATTTTAAATGATTGAGACAGAATATCAACCAAAAACTCATGACACAAATTTTATAAATTGAGTTGCAGTTCAGTGATTAAAAAAAGTATTTGATCCCCCTACCAACCAACAATAATTCTGGTTCCCACCGACTGTCTATGTGGTGCACAGATTAGGCCTGTCACTTTAAGAAGGTGCTCCTAATGACAAATCACTTTCTTCCATTCAAACCTCACCGACCCGCCGAAATAAAAAAAGTCCCGCCGCATGACGACTGTCTGATCCTGACGAAAACTCGCCGCAAAATGACATTCCTGCTCGAAAGTGAACAGAGGGGCGGAGCGAGTCGTGACGTCACGGCTCGCTCCGCCCATTTGACATTCTCAGCTGTCAACTACTACATTGCATTTGGGAACTCCCGAATGCTATTCGTGAGTTTCCAAATGACATTCGTGTCTGTGAGCCGAGGTGTCATATAAAAAGTATTATGACACCTCGGCTCACAGACTCGAATGGCATTTGGAAACTCACGAATAGCATTCGGGAGTTCCCGAATGCTATTTAGTATTTGACAGCTGAGAATGTCAAATGGGCGGAGCGAGCTGTGACGTCAAAAAAATGTTTTGCTGCAACGAACGAATGAAACGGCATTTGGACTGGACTACCGCTAATGAATTTCGTCCAAATCCAAATCCCAAAACGAATCAAATTTCTGACCCGAATCCCAAAAAACGAAATATCGCAAAATCCGAATCGAAACTAAACAAATTTTTTGCCACTGCACATGTCTAATGGCTATCACTTGCAGATGTAAATGCTGGTCCATGAGTCATGGCCCATTCATTTTCTGTCCTTGAAATATACTTTATCCTTTAGTATGTATTATTTTTAGTGTGTATTTGATATCTGTCAGGTATGTGCATGTTTGTTTAGAAATACAATTTAAAGCTGTAATTGAAATCATATAACAGTAGCATAAATATACAGTATAATACTGTATGTCGAACAATACTTAAACTGACATTTTAAATCACAATGTTATCTTCTGTTACAGCAAAACCTCAGAAGAAGTTACTTCTTATCGATGTGGACTGTGGTACTGATGATGCCCAGGCCATTATGATGGCATTAGCCGCTCCTAATGTTAAAGTTTTAGGAATTACATGTGTAGCGGGAAATACTGGATTAGAAAATGTCTGCAGGAATGTTCTACGTGTCCTAAAACTGTGTGACAAATTAGATGTAAGTAACAGTTGTGTTCACATATTATTTAAAAAAAACTGCATTTATTTCTTGTAGTCTGCTGTGGTGCTCATGGAGTGTTTAATTTGAAATGTAAAGTCTGCAAATTACCAGGGCTTGAAAAATTTGGCGGTGTCTCACCAGTCAGTCAAAAAATTTAACACGCTGCTTTATATTGTTTGCACCTGCTGTGAGTAGCACTAAGTGCACAATGCTGTGGGGTAGGTGCATTGTGATTTATTTTAATGGCACCTTTACATGCCATTAAAAAAAATGTTTTTAAGTCCCCCGCCCCAAACATGCGTCGAGTGCGCCTACGTGCGTAAACGACGATTGCATCCATTACGCCGCACATGTTACGTGTCGCAGTGAGAGCAATAATTCTAGGGCCATCAATCAGTTATAACGCTAAACTGATGAGCGGTAAAAGCTTTTAAAGCGTCGCCTATGGGCAATTTTGGGTATGGTAGTTTTTGCGAGTTCGCAGACACACGCAATTTTAAAGCTTAACATGTTTGGTGTCTATTTACCCGACGTGACCCCGTCTTTTATATTTTGCCAAAAATTTGGGTAATAATAACTGTTTTATAACATAACGTAGGGAAAACAGTTTGTTCCCCAAATTTTCGGTACTTTTTTCATTATATAGTAAAAAATAAAAACCCCAGTGACGATAAATACCACCAAAAGAAAGCTCTATCTGTCCCCAAAAAATTGTATAAAATTAAGTCTATGGAGCAGCGTGCACCTGCACAGACTCCGTGGAAGATCAGAGGAGGACAGAGGAGTAAGCGCTGGATCGGAGACCCCCACCCAGCGCTGGAGGGACATCTGAAAACTACAGGAAAGCAGAAGATGATCGGATTAAGAGGCATCATTTAGGGTAAGACCTTACACTAACATGGGGAGGGGTGGGGGGGGAGGGGGTTATCCTTTAATGTCACTTTAAAAGTGGTGACTGCATTACTTTTCCTATTTTTAGACATTTTTTTTCCTTTAAAAAAAAAAAGTTTGCATCTGGTCAGTAACTAGGGATGCACCGATACTGTTTTTTCGGTATGGAGTACGAGTACTGTTATTAATATTTCGGTACTCACCAATAACGAGTACCGATACTTCCGTTAGCAAGATCTCAGTACTTCATCTAAACACATTCCCAGCCAATCGGCATGGAGGCGGCCAAACAGCATGTAGCCGGTTTCCCGGCCAATCAGGAAATCAGGAAGCTGGGCGGTGAGTCGTTATCCGCTGCCCGGCTTCTTGATTGGCTGGGAAGCCGGCTCCATGTTCCCTCGCGGCACTGCCGGTCAGAGGATATCTCCCTCTGATTGGAAGTTCCTGTTATGTGTTTAGCTGAAGCACTGAGATTTTGAGGCATGCTGGATTAAGTTTTACTTGCTTAGCAGGACATTACATGTATGTATGTATGAATACAGGAATAAAGGATTACCAGGAAACATGTTGATAGGAAAACTTCCTATTAAATACTAGATAAGCAGGCACACAGACTAGCATTGCACTATACTGACATATACAGCTCATAAGGTATTCCATCTCTGAAAGTCAGTAATACAAATGAGTACATATCGGCATATGCTGGTGTATTTCCAACAGTTCCGGTATCTGGAGTCAGCATCAGAGCATTTGGGTGAGTACGACTACTCGCCCAAATACACTTTATCTGCACCAATACCAATACCAATACTAGTATCGATATTGGTGCATCCCTGTCAGTAACCCACTTCCTTTTTTAGGGTGACTTCACTCTATGGAGGAGCAATGAAGCCACTTTTGGATGGCAGCATTGTCACCCTGTGGTGAGGGTAGTTTTAGATGTACAGTACTAACAGATTTAGATAGATTGACAAAATAAATTAAATTTGAACACTTTTTAAGCTGTTACAGCAGTTTTCCTTTTTGGTATAAAGGCTTTCCATAAATTAATAAAAGCTGATCATTGTAAGCTGCCCTGTTAGTGTTAAATAGTCCCAACCCTCTATCTGCCACTTTTGCTGGACAGCTTGGCCAAAGCTGACTACTAAGAGACTTACTGATGGATCACCAGGTTGCTTTTGGATTTAGATACGCTTTAAGCAATATTTATTTTAACTGCAATGATTATTTCCTGCCACTAGATGTCAGGTAAAGGATACTTTTGTCTAAGATTATTTCAGAACATTCATACTGATATGGATATACATTTGATACGTATATATGATGTCTATGACATAATGATACTTTTTAACAATTCTTGTCTATTTATCTGGTCTTCTACACATGTCATTTATATATTTTCATGGCATTTCCATAGGGCTTGATTTTATTTCTCCTGGGTATACCCTTTGTGGCTAGTTATGCATGCCCATGCATTTACGGGATTTTACTATAATTTAACTAAAGTGTGTATGTATGTGTATCCAGGGCCGGATTCCCGACAAGGCCACAGAGGCCCGGCCTCGGGGCAGCAGGGAGCAGAGGGGCGGCACAGGTTTGAAGTCTCCCGACGCCCGAAACATGGAGTTCCGAGCAGTAATTTGTTTTCTACATTTAGCCCTGCATAAGCAGGGCTAAATGTAGAACGGGGAAACCACTTGTTTCTTTACAAGTGATCTTGGCGATTGTTGCCAAGATCACTTGTAATTAGACTGCAGCTGCTCCGTCCTCCACCCCCCCTCCCCCCCACACCGACCTCACTGCATGCTGGCTGCGCCTCCCACCTCAGTCCTCTCCCCGCTGGACAGCGACGTCTTCAGGATGGAGAGCGGTGAGCAGAGCGGCAAAGAGAACCTGTCACCTCCAAATGCTATCACACAGGGGCTTGTTATTCCCTGTGTGATGGCAATAATGTTAAGCGGAAAAAAATGATTAAAAAATAATTACATAAGTAAAAAATAAGTAA